TATTTTCCTATATGTGGGTCATCCATATTTTGCCGACCTTTACAACCCCATAACTTTTTTATTTATGAACCGTTTCTCAAAATTCAAGAAGCATAATTATCAGAATTGAAAATTCTTTCTTAGGTACCAAAAAAAAGGGGGCAAAAGAGGAATTTTCCATTTTCATTGGCATTGCTACCTTATATAGACCTTTTCCTTCCTTATCATATCATGCCTCAAAAATTTGGAATTCCCTCCCAAAAGAAATGATATATCATAGCATCTCAGCGAGAGAATTTAAGGAACGGTTCAACGTCTAAAGACACATTCGTTAAACATCGTCCTCGGCCAGTAAATGCAGGTCATGAGTGTGGGACTGGAAGTAGTATGTGTGTGTGTGTGTGTGTCTGTGGTGTGTGTGCATGAGAGTGTGTGTGTCTGTGATGTGTGCGCAAGCATGCGAGTGTGTAAGAGAGTGTGGCTAAATGGTTTAGTTTCTCATGAGGCTATGATAAAAGTTATTTTCTGTCCTACTTTATATGGTCAGTCAAGGGTTTATCATCTACATTACACAGCGCTACAAGCCTTTTGGAATTAGGCACCTGATATACAACATGAATCCCCAATATTATACGCCCTGGCTTGTCATGAATTGCTTACCTGTGTTCAATACATGGGCGATGATGTTTTGGGCATAATTGAACAGCTTGTGTCGAAAAATTTCATACTGAGTTCTTGGGAAGTTCGCCAGCACACCTTTTGATGCATTCTGTGAGTAAAAGGCCTCAAAGTCACAAGATCTTGCTTTGACGGGTAGCTGTGCATCATATTCTCTGACATCAAAATTGGTCTGCTGTATTGTGTACATGTCCTTATCAGAGACATCAGGAACGTACAGAAGATCAAATTCTTTGGCAATCTTCTTTCCAAGTTCAGCTTTGCCAGTAGCCAGGTTTCCATCGATAATAATTACTTTCGTGTTGTCATCAATCCGGCTGTCAACTCTGTCAAAAGGAATATGCCAATACCTAAATCCCTTCTTCTTGTACGGCCAAGCCTTCTTTCGGGGTGCCTTTTCGCCATGGTAAGACGTCAAGTTCGCAACAAGGACTGTGCAAGCGCCAAGAGAGTTTTCTGTACTCTGCCTCAAAAGTTGTGGTAGTTTTTGGCTACCTTGATTACGAAGCAGCAATGAAGTCCTTGCAAAAAGCAGTGCCATGCTGAAGGTTTGCTTCAGCCGTTTTCACTGCAATTATGACCTGTCGCCAAGTCTTTGAC